ATGGATGGATCGATCGATCGATCGATCGATCGATTTGATTGACTTGATTGACTTGATTGACTTGATTGAGTGATGAGTTGATTGATTGATGAATTGATTGGTGTGTTAGATTTGATTGGATGGGTTGGATTGGTTGGATTGTTTGGATAGATTGGATTGGTTAGATTGGTTGGATTGATTCGATTCGATTGGATTGATTGGTTGGTTGGTTGGATGGTTGGTTGGATTGGATTTGATGAGATTGCACTGTGTTGGATTGGATTGGCTGGTCGGGCGGTTGGTTGGATTGGATTGGATTGGATTGGGTTGGATTGGATTAGATCGGATTGATTGGACTGCATTGATTGGATCGGATGGGGTTGGGTTGGATTGGATTGATAGGTTGGTTGGATGATTGGTTGGATTGGATTGCATTGGATTGGATTGATCGGTTGGTTGCTTGCTTGGTTGGGTTGGGTTGGGTTGGGTTAGATAGGATTGATTGGGTTGGATTGGGTTGGGTTGGATTGATAGGTTAGTTGGAGAATTGGTTGGATTGCATTGGATTGGATTGATCGATTGATTGATTGGTGGGTTGATCGATTGATTGAATGATTGGTGGGTTGATCGATTGATTGAATGATTGGTGGGTTGATCGATTGATTGATTGATTGGTTGGTTGATTAGATACATTTGATTTGATTGATTGATTGATGGACGGACGGATGGACGGACGGATTGATTCATTTCTTGATCGCCGGGGAAGCGGCTCGGTGGATTCCGCTGAGCTAGTTTCAGAGGTCAGCCTGCGCCGCTTTCTGCGAGAAGTGGAGTCCAAACCAAAAGACTTCTCCGCGCTCTTCCCGTCGGAGACCTCGCAGAAGTGAAGTTCGTTACTTCAGGTGCCAGCGCCTTATTTCACATCAATTCATTCGAAGGGTACGGCGACTGGCACTAGCCAGTGCGCCCAAATCAATCTATCCTGCTCGCGAAGGCCTGCAAATGTTTCCATGTATCGTTCTATCTTGTTGGGCTTGACATGTCAACACGTGATTCATGATGTTCATAGAATCAGGACTTGTATGAAAGAGGTGGTTTGCCCAACGCGCGATGGGATACTTGGATGTATTGCAGGCCATTTGACATCGTGTCTTGTACACGAGCGATGGTGTCAGGCTTTGGCCCAAGCCGACCTTGGATTGGGAATTCAGCCCAATGATCGCGACTATTGCCAGGGATGAAATCCCCCTGCTTTCAGCGTGTACTTCAACATCTTTGACCCCTTGGTGTTGGCAAGTTGAATTGGTGAGCGCTCCAAAAGAGCTCATCAGTGCAGCAGTTTCCTTTTGTTTCGTTGCAGGCATCCATGGGATCCCAATAGATTCAAGCCATCGCAACCCGCCATGTTCGAGCTCAAACAATTGGCATGCTCCATTGGCCCCAAAGAAACAAACACTTTGGCATGAACACCACGTGATCTCTACCTTGGGATCTTCTCCTCGTGAAATGGCGATGATTCAGTCCGAGAAGGAGTTGTTTTGCACAGACCGTTTTCCACTGACCGGCCTCCAAGATTCCCTGTTGAGCAAGAAGTTAGACGACCGAACGACATGTTGGGGACGCTCAAGGTGAGGTGAGGGGAGGATTTCGATTTCGGATTCCGGAAGGGTAGACTCATCAGAGGGTCTCAAGAATTTGCCGCGTTTGGACGCGCCTTAGTACACCCCCGTTTTGAGGGCGTCTTGGAGTCTTGAGTTGGACAGGATCTCTGTTCAACCTGGGTGCCAACGGCAAAGGACTCCAGGAGTCGACTTCCAAGCAGACCTCGGTGTAGCTGGCTGCACGGCAGATGTTTTGCCCCCAGCCAATTCTCTCGGTTTGCCAAGAGCGCCTCATTTTCGGCACTGATCAGGGCCACAAAGCATCGCAGCGATCCATTTGCAAGGCACATGTTGTTTGAGGCGCTGCATTATTGGAGCCCGAGATTGGAGCCCCGTGAGAGTGCGGGCAAGTCTTTGGCGCTGCTCATAGTCCATCTAAAGCCTCCAGCTACAAGTCGTGTTGCAATTTTTCCTCTGCCATTGCACACGGTGCAAGTTGGATTGGAAGCGCTGCTCCTGTTCTGTGAGTGACGAGCTGCTTCAAAAAGTTTCTTCTTCGCCGCCGGTTTCTGGGTGGCTGGAACTGGTTACTCCTGGAGAACAATGCCCTGACAGGGAGGGGACGGACTAGACAATCACTGCAGTGCAGGCTTTCAGAGTTCACCACTGTAGTCGCTACTGAGTCTCTTCTGTTCTCCCACTAGGGTCCCATCGGCAATACTATCAGAAGCTGTCGCTGTTGTGTAGTGAAGCAGCCTAGAGTTCAAAACGAGCCCCGGGCCTCATGCGCGATCCCGGTCCTGCTAGACCTGAACCTTTCGCACATTTCAGCTACGAAAAGAATGCGCCTCGTGTTTTGAAGGGCTTTCATTGTGCCAACGACGTCATGTCTCGACATGAAACCGCAGATTCGCTGTTTCGGGCGATTAAACAGCTGGAAAGTTCAGGTTGCCAAGATGTTCGGAGACTTGGGGCTGCAGCGGCAGTGACGCGGTGCACAGTCGTAAAACGTCACGTCTCCCCTTGAGATCGCAACATTAAGAAGCCAAGGTCGGAAAGGTGCTGTTCGGAGCTAGAGCAAATGTGGCAGACTGCTTCTGAATTGTTCAGGCGAAGTCTATCAACATCACTGGGTGGTAGACTGACTTTGACCCTTCATACAAATTCTTTTCTGCATGGGCAACCCTTTTTCGGTTCAGTGAAATATCATTCATTCATTCATCAACACTCATGACTATTCTTGTGTGTGGTGTTTGGGTTCTGCTCAACGAAAAGACCCGCTGCGAGCAATTCCAACGGCTCGGAGGAGTGCCACGTCGCAAAAATAAGTACTAAAGACACCACCAACTCGCAGACACCAAATCCAGAGGGGCCTGAAATTTGCGAGGAGTGTGCTGTCGAGCGTGTCAAATACATTCCTTTGCCTTAGACATCTTAGACTTCAGGCTTGCATAACTTGCATAGGCTCCGGGCTTAGATCAATTACAGCAAGAACCATGCCATGGTGAGAACTGGCCAATCTGGATTCATGATCCAATGTTCCTTTTATATCTTTTTTGCAATCCCCGGCCTCCCGACACGAACCTTCGGGAGTGTTCTCACTGCGTAGCCAGCGACTTCGCAAAAGGCAAATCCATGAAGCTTTGCGGGGCACCTATGCCCGACACCAAGCAGCCTTGAATCTGCTCGCTGCAAGCCCCATGTCTCCTCTAGACTTTCCCAGGACCCAAGGCAGACTCCTCCCTTCGATCCGCAGAGTTGAAGGTTTTGACATGATTTAACGATTATATCTGCAACGAGGCGATGGTATGGAGTAGTGCGGACAGTTTAAGACTTGGCCGGGCCATCAAAGCTGGGGCGGTGCAAATCCCCCCAGGTACCACCGGCACTGCGCCTCCCGTGGAGAGTACAAGTCTGGCCTTTTTTGCTGCGGAAATTTCGAGGGGTGTGTGGGAAATGTTCCTCTGGCGGCCAGTCAAAGACCAGCCCAGCCCTTCTGCTTGCCCAGGAGATTCAGCCAAAAAATGCAGTTTGTGCGCTCTTTTTTCAAAGAACATGTAAATGATGGATATCGCACCTTTCAACAAATTCGGTGGAATGCAGCATGCAGAAATCGACAGCGGAGTTGCCAACTCAATCCTTGGGATCAAAGGAGCAGTTTTGTCAAAAGTTGGACCCCTTGGTGGTTGCCAGCATGAAGCTGCTATTGGGAGCGGTCGCCGGTGAGCAAAAGAGAACATGTCTCAGGAAATAAAGCCGTTCACAGATTGCCGTGAGGGAGGGGACGGCAAACGAAGTCAGTAGCGAAGGAATTGCGGTCACCATTTGGGTGTGGCTCAAAATTAAACGATCGGAGGGGCAAACCGCAGGTTTTGGTCCATGTTTCCATTTACCAGGGTTCCATTTTGGTACCGGTTTTTTAAGCCACAGCCATTTGAGCACACACACACACAGTTCTTCATTAGTCGCCAAAAGGGGGCATGACCGCCCAATGCTCCCATGCTCGAGTGATACGCATAGGCTCATAACCCTTCTCTCATCTCTCAGGCTTAGATTGTCACGGGCTCGTCTCGTCAAAGACCATGAGGATCTTGGTGTTGACATTGCAGCTCAACGGCAGATGAGCCACAATCAAAACCCGAGTAGATGAAGGTTAGCAAGGGACAATCCCAACCATAAATAGCAGCGGCCGCCTTCTTATTTCTTTACATGGTTCTGGGTAGACCATCCTGATACTGGGTTTTGATTATGACTCAGATTGTGTTCGCAAGGATCGAATTTGTCGGCGGGTCAGAGCTTGGCGTTTGCTCAATGATGACTTGCTGAGCCACACACGTTCACAGATTAGAATTTGCATGGGCTTACGAGCCAGATTCCGCTCTGAACGAGTTCATTGCAAAAGCGCAACATGAGCGACGCATCATTCTGTCATTCTGAGCAGCGATTCCGACTCCGCAACAAGGACGAGTCCCCTCGGGGTCAACTCATGAATCCATAGGGCTCCTAACCCGTAGCCGCTTTGCACCACAAATCCCCACCTTTTGTCCTTTTGGTCGCCAGCTTGCTGCCGCTCGGCACCAGCGAGCCCATGGAAGCTTGTGTTTCCCATGTTGGCTGTTGATGCTGTGCATATTGAATGGAATAGTATGTTGCTTGTTGCACGGGCCAGCATCACCAGCAACCAGGGCCGCTTGCAAGCAAGCCTCAAAGCCCCTGAAAGGTACCCTTCCAAAAAATCTAGACGCGAGCAGGTTTCATCGCCGGAAGATCGCTGGAGCCCAATGGCGCCGCCAACACTACAAGAGCTAGGATGAACTCACCCTTCCCATGCGCCTCCCCTGTGGACAGGGGTCGGCGGATAAGAGTTTGAGCTCACACATTTCAATGTGTGAGGACTTAGGGTTGCGAACCATAGCTGAGGCCGAAACAATTATGGAGCAGTGGGCCCAGTTTGCTGCCTGTGCTCTAACTGCTGGAGCGCCCGCCGCCCCCCCCCCCCTTTTAGGAGCCCCCCCCCCCTTTAGGAGCCCCCCCCCCTTTCAACCCCCCCCCCCCACCCCCAAAAAACAATCCTCTTCGAATCCATCCAGAGATTTCGATCGCATCTGCCTGAGGCTTCAATGGCTGTGCCGAGGAAGCTGTCGAGGACCCGGCAACGCGCAAAGCCGCAGTTGGCCGCAGGCCGAGGTGCGCGAGTCGGACAGAGCGCAGAAAGGGCCGAGCTGGTTGTTTTCCGCTCGGGTGCGTAGCTTGGAATCCGTCATCTGCCAAGGAAACAGGGTGTAGCCCGCCCGGGCGAAGACTGTTCGCCGCTGAGCAAATTGCAGGAGGGCTCTCGTGTCCAGCGAGTGGGTTGCACTGTACTTATGGTTTGACTTCGACTTTTGACACGTTTGAAATGTGCAGAATTTCGCCGCGGTCTCCGACAGTTGGCTCGAACTTGGAATTCATGCTGCAAACCCACGCGTGCGCACGACTGAGACCTTACGTTGGCACGGCAGGACCGGTGCGATGTCTGTGGGGGGCGGGGGGGAGGCGGGGGGGGGGGGTATGCACTGCGTCAGGGACAGCTGTAAACAGTTGGGTCTGTCTTTTCGTGAGGGTGCCTGCTTTTCTTTTTTTGTTTCTTTTTCCCCAACAGCTGAAAGCTTTGGGGTCTCAAGGCGGCCCTGAGGTAAGGTTCCACCAGGGTTCCACAAGATTCTGCGAGGGCTGCGGGGTGGTGCGAGCACTAAAAAGAGCACCGCATGCTGTTGGGGATATCACGTGTTTTTTTTGGGTGGGGCATACCCAACTGGAGCCATTATTGTCTTGTGTCTAAAGGGCAGGTTGTTTCCCAGCTTGAAGGCGAGAGCCAGGGCGGGCAATTGAATCGAATTGAATTGCATCCCAGTCTTCTTTTGCACAGATGCACCAGAGAAAAACAGTTGGCAGACTTGGAGGACACATCTCTGCCTAGATTGGTATAGTCTGGAGGCGCGGAGATAGCGCCTGTTGGGGGGGGGGGGGAGAGGGGAGTGCGGGGGGACGGATGACCACAAATCGACTGAGTCCGGAAGTTGAGTTCCAGCATCCTCAATCTTGTTGGAACTCTAAATGAATCCCCAGAATAGCACTCTGGTGAGAGGCAACAAAGATTACAACCATCGGTTTGCCCTCGCTCTTGAATTTTGAGTCGCACCCGAAGGGCAGGTGTCCATTTGATCGGTTAGTTGTGCAAAGACATAGATGGGTTCCCCTGGTTAGCTTAGTTTTACGCCCCATTTGCCAGGACACCTATCGATTTTTCCAAGAGGCCACCTATGTCTAGTGCTCACTTGCCCCAAGCGAATCGACCTTTTGACCTTTTAGTTTCCCCTTTTTTCCACCAGGGCAATCGATTTTTTCAGTTTTACTTTCTGGCACCGAAGTGAAATCGATCTGAAGCGTATGCATTTCCGGCCGGCTCCCGAAAAAGGCTTGGATGGTTTCCGGGGGGAAAACTTGCCGGTGCTAGGCAAAGGAGTTGGAATGACCCCTATACACCATCCAACTGGTGGCTTCCTTTTTAGTGGGAGCTACAAAAACTGGTGTTTTGTTTTTGCCAACATGCCAAGGGTTTTTATATCGGCTCTTTGCTTCTCTGCTTTTTCTGCTTGTCTGGTCCGCTCTCTGACCATAAGCAAGAAAGGCCTCCTTGGCTCCGATGCATCTGATCTTTACCTTAGGTGGCCCCGGCCCTCGGCCGCCTGTCGGAAGCCGTCGGTCGGAAGTCCATCTTAAGGTTGGATTTTCAGGGAAGGTGGAAGTATCTCAAGACAAACGTGTCTGAATGCGCACTCCCAACCGCCCAACCCTGGACGAGCTTCGGAAATCAGTGCCCACTCAGAAATTGTATGCTTTGCCCCGTGTCGGAATGTTGAACCTGGGGTAACGCTTACCACATGCGTGCACCCTACGTGCGTTGCTGGTCAGATGATCCTGCTGGAGATTTGGGTGCTGTTTGTGGCGGCGGCACCTTGGCTGATCCAATTTGTGAAAGGGCTTCGGACTGACCCCGCCGATGTTCTGACATTTGACAGAGCGGCAAAGCGGAGTTTTGTTAGATGTCAAACTACATGCTTCACTTTGCACTCTTGTTGCATGTATGTTCACTACCGCAGGCCTTGAGCTTACTACTCCGCATGAGTCAAAAGGTTGGCAGCTGCAGACTACATTGGTTGACTGTTTGTTTGAACACTACAGCACTTGCACTTGTAAGCAAAGTAACCACCGATTTTAACGTGGTAGCGGAGCTGAGATCCTAAACATAGGGGAGCTCCAGTAAGCAGTAAGTACTACAACAACAGAGCAACAGCAGCTACATGCCAAACTACCACGACATGTCAGGAGAAGCAGCATCAGCCTCAGCACAACAAACCACAGGAGCAGAGAACGGGCCAACAGCAGACACAGTAGGAGCCACGACTACGGGAGCAGGAACAGAACAAGACAACGACGTTCAGAGACTACATAGATACAAACTGCCACCACCCTTCTTCACTGGTGACTACTCCCAGTATGAAGAATGGCTGTTCAAGCTACAAGCATACCTCGGCCTCATAGACCGAGACTTCGACCTGGTGCTACAACTAGCACAAGTGGCTACACGACAGATTGAGGACACAGACATCAGAACACACATACTCGACCCTACACAAGCAAGCAAAGCAGTAGACCTCTCCAGAGATCTACACTACATCCTCATCAACATCTGTCAGGGAGCAGCAGCTACAGTAGTAAGGCAAAACCGCTACAACGCAAACGGATGTGAAACACTACGACTACTGCACAACAGGTTCAGCCTACCAGTAGGAACAAGGAGCGTTGGTTACCTTACCAAACTACTGGAACCCACATTCAACGAAGCGCAGTTTGAAGAACAATTTCTACAATGGGAATACGACATCAACCGCTACGAGAAAGACAATGGAACAGCACTACCAGATGGAATCAAAATAGCAATACTACTCAACAAAACCAAAGGAGCACTGCAGCAACACCTCCAACTGCGAGCTGGACAGATCACGAACTACATCGAGATCAGAGCACTCATCCTGGACTACTACAAAACGATTTCAGCCTTCACTAGATCTACTTCAGCAGTAGGAACAAACTACAATGGAGGAACTGCACCAATGGATGTTGACAACATATGGAGGAAAGGAAGAAGCTACAAAGGCAAAGGAAAAGGAAAAGGCGGCTACAAAGGAAGCAAGAGCAAAGGCAAGTACAGGAGTAAAGGACACTACAAAGGATTCGACAAAGGCAGCAAAGGAAACTACAACAAAGGAGGATACAACAAGAGCAAAGGAAAAGGCTACTCAGGATCCAAAGGATATGGATCAAGCAAAGGCTACAAAGGCCAAGGAAACTACAGCAAATCAAAAGGAAAAGGAAGCAACAACTACACAACATGCCATCGATGTGGCAAGCCCGGCCACTGGGCACAAGACTGCAGAGTGCCGGTATGGCACATAGGAGAAGGAGAAGAACTACATCCACTAGAACAAGAACAAGCAGATCACGACAACAATGATGAACTACCTCAGGATGTGAACGACACTTGGGACTGGTACTACGAAGGAGAAGAAGGACAACATGAGGTGAACTACATGGAGGAGAACTGGAACGACTACGACTATGACAACAGCTGGGATTGGAATGACAACAGCTATGAGGACACAGCGAACTACATTGGAGGCATCAACGAGTCACACCTCACCATTGGACACATCAGACAAGCAAATCACGACTACACAAGCACAAATCCAAATCACTACTCGGCAAGAGAACAACACACACAACATCATGGAACGACCACAGCAAGAGCTTTCAACAATTCCTACAAGAAGACACCACAAAGCTACACTTCGACATAGCAGCAGCAAGACAACAACAAAGGAACAAGAAGATTGAGGACACTATCACCCACTACATCATGTACTCCAACTTCAAGTCATACCACCACCTGTTGATCGACTCAGGAGCATCTACACATGTTTGCCCAAAGGACTACGCACCGGATCTTCCACTACGACCCTGTGGAGAATCAGTTCCACAACTCTACACGGTGACCAACAAGAAGATTCCAGTCTACGGCATCAAGTACGTTCCCTACAAGCAGGACAAATTCAGGATCATGATACCCTACTACGTTTGTGATGTGAAGTATCCAATCCTCAGCGCATCAAGACTACTTGATAGAGGATATGGACTTGACTTCACTCCACGACACTGCACCATCACACATGGACAACAACAAGCACACCTCATAAGACACTCAGGACTTTTCTACCTACGAGCAGAGAAGATCGACATTCCTACAGGATTCGACATCTACCCAATGACTACAGACAATGGAAAATCCATTGCTGTGATTCAACCTACAGAGAGAGCAGCACAACAACAAGAACAAATCGCACCACTCACACACACAGACCAAGGACTACGACAGATCCTTGGTGGAAACACTGACTACTGGAAACTTGATGGTGACTACGCCATCAGAGTACACAAACGACCACGCAAAGCACTGTTCACACCACACAACAGTGGCTGCCCAATACCAGAAGGAGAACTAGATGATTGGCGACTAACCATCATCAACAGACAAGGGCAAGAGCAAGAACAACTACAAGAGAACCCAACACAACTTTCCAAGCAAGAACTACAACGAAGACTAGAAGGTGACAACTGGACTGGAGAAACCAGATTCAGAAGAAAGATAACACCTACACGCAGAGCAACATCAAAGACCACACCAACAAGGCAGAGCTCACAACCACAACGGCTAATGGACACACCACCAACCAGATCAAAGATCCAACTACGAGCGCCGCAAAAGATATGGAGACCCAAAGCAGCACCTTCTACAAATCTTGACACCACACAACCAAAGGAGACAATACACAGACCACTCACAGCACAAAAGGACAACCAAGACTACTGGGAAAGACAAGGTGAACATTGGATACAACACCACAGAACGCTTAGAACAACTCTCTTCACTCCAACAGATGGACCAGGACATCCACCAATCAACACACTTGAACCTCACAGAACTACAATCACTCACAACAACTTTGGAGAAGTTTCACAACGCAAAGATGACTGGACAGTCATGGGCAACGCAGCACTACCATTTCAATGGAAAGGAACAACAAGGTTCACCGTGAAGAAAGACTA